GGAGTTTGCCAAGCCATTGACAGATGTGAAGAAGGAGGAACTCAAAGAAGAAAATTATGTTGCTCCAGAATTATTTAGCGGTACCAGTTCATCCTCTGCAAAAGGCTATACATGTCTTCTAATAGACTGGTTCCACTTCTCTAAAATAGTTCTTAAAAAGAGATCAAGAGGCATTTTCGGGTAGAAGCTGGGATCCAGTTTATTTTGGGTATTTCGACCATGCTGATTACGAATTTGGCGGATCCCAAGTTCGCTAATTTAAAGGCTTAATTTGCATATTCAAAATGGCTGCCGGTCAAAAAACTTCAAGGTATAACCAAGGGACCCTCCGAACCGCATAAAGTTCTGGCAAGTGGTAGAATATAGCAAATATAGAAAAAGTAAAGAAATTCAAGAATCTTAGTTGCATGCAGCCGATCTTGGTCAGCAACAAATTCTAAGATTTGTCACGCACAGACTGACACTGTCTGACACAGCCCATGATATCCTTCAACGAACCATTAAAAAGATGCAGAGCGCTTACCTTTCAAAGCCTATATGAAGTTCCAATAAATTCAAACTACAAGGAGAAGCAGACGATTTTCAAGGCCGATCGAAATATCCTCATGCAGCTGATCACTGCTTATGAAGGCAGCCGTGAAGTTGATCTTAAGAGTGTGCTTTCTCATGAATTGATGCCAGTTCCTCATCTCTCACTGAAATGAACTGTTTTTTTCGGACTGGAAGCAAGTCTGTCCTTTTTGACAAGCTAAAGGATAGCATCAATTGTCCAGAGAGTATCGATCTTCATGGAATAACAGCGTGCTTAATCATCGATGGTCAGGCTCTAGTGGTTTTCATAGGCAAACCAAATGGTTGCTCTTCGTTTTGTGATTTAGCAGACACCTTTGTTTCAAATGGGTAAACGCTACCAGAGATTTAGCAGTGCTTCAAATGGGTAAACGCTACCAGAGAGTTGACGTTGTTTTTGACCACTATAGACAACTATCAATCAAAACTAGTACCAGACTAAGGCGGAAAAAAGCTAGCTGGCCTGTTCGCCGAGTTAAAGAGAGCGGTTTGGTACCTCTTCCAAAGTTCTGGTCAAACTTCTTTGCATTGCCAGAAAACAAAGCAGATCTTGCACGATTCCTGTCAGAAGAGTTGCTTCGCCAAGCAACTGAAGATAAAGAAATTGTTACAGCTGGTGGATTTATCAATTAATTGCTTGCCCAGTCATCGAAATATTACACTGATATCTTGTTTTTGATTGCAGACCATAAAGAAGCAGACACCAGACTTGGATGTGATACAACTTCGTACTTGTCTGGGAGTACAAATGGCATCTGCATAGAAAGTTTTTAAAGAGTCTCATGAACTCTTGCAAAACATGGGAGAAGGAGGTATTAGCAAACGGGGTATTATGCGGAAAGCAGAAAATTTTTTTTGCCACGGTTTTGGTGCAGGCCACAAATGAAGCCCGATACGTTCTATTTTTCAAGAAAACAAAACCCGAGGCATTGCCTCCAACAAGTGATGTGGCACATCTTCACATAAAAAGAGCACACTTCCAAGCAATGATATGGAAACAAGCTGGATCACGGCATCAAGACTTACCGTCACCTACCGATTTCGGATGGGAGCTTTCTGAAGATCAATTAAAGCCGATTCTGATGACAGTGAAGCCATCCCTACTGCTTCTCTGGAGATGATCTTTTGTGGATGTAACACACGATGCAGAACTCATATAGCTTAGTTTGCTTTAAGATTTAGATCAGACACTCGTTCAAATCTTAATGTAGGGTCAAGCTTCACACTGCAGGCCTTGCGCATATCAACATGAGAAGAATCCTCAAGAATTCTTGACACGTATGGAAGAATTTAAAAATTAGCAAAGAAGCTTTGAGTGAAACTACAACTGTTTTTTTCTTAACAACTCTCAAGAATTATTAGTCAGAAGATAGTGTTAATTTGCGCAAGGCCTGTAATGTAGCAAGTTGTGTGGCAAATGCAGCAAAGCTGAAAACAACGAATGCAACTGACCTATAATCGATTAGATTCAAGCTTGGACCCACATTAGAGACCTTCACAAAAATGCAGCATAGTAGAACTGGATATACAAAAGGAACGTGTTCAGCCACTTGAATATTCAATGTTGACATTTCACCCGATTACTACTTGGGGGAAAATTTCATTTGAGAAATGTCATACATAAACTTGTCGTTAGTTCGAAAAATGAAGAGCCAAAAGTTTGCCATTTCTCCTAAAATTAAATGGGCTAAATAAAACTGGAAGATTTTATCTTAAATGGTAGACACTAACCAGCTAGAAAACCAAATCAATGAGTTTAATTTTTGCCGGAGGATCAAAGATAATCGAGAATGCCACCATTCGACTGATTTCGAAGAGACCTTAGAAATGTTGCATGACCTTTTCAATTTTTGATGGCGTGAACAATTTTAAGTTAATGACATCATCATATTTATGACGTCATGTAAATCACAGAAAATGTAATAGATCAACTTTACTAGCCCAAATTGGCTCTCTTTATCTTTAAAAGTAAATTCAAGACATTTTAGAGTATTTGCACCAGTAATTAGGGGTTTAAATGAAACAATGACAAATTGGTGTAAATAAATCATGAATAAGCGATATAGATAATAAACTTAAATGGAAATCATATCTCTGATTTTTACTTTTTGGTGCATTTTGATACATTCTAGAGACTATAAAAGGACTTAATAATTAAAGCTGAGATATTACCAATAGTTGGCAAATTCTGTCATTTTCTTCAATTATGACATCATTATGACGTCATGGATGTAATGAAAAATTTAAAAAGTTCCCTGTTGTGTAGATTTTGTTGCTGTACACCATTTTACCAAGTTCTATCCTCATAACGGCAATATAAGTGAATATCCTATTCGAATGCAGTGTCATGGATTTTCTTGGCAGCATTTTGAAGATTTCGACTGGCAGCCGTTTTGATATGCAAATTAAGCCCTTAAATGAGCTAATTTCACTTGGGATCCTCGTAATTCGTAATCAGCATGGTCGAAATACCCAAAATCAACTGGATCCCAGCTTCTACTAAAAAATGTCCCTTGATTTATAATTTCTTGGAATTGGAACCAGTCTATAAGACAAAACGGGCCTTGAAATTCTTATGCGCCAACTGCCTGGAAGCCAACCCAAAAAAAAAGGCTGTGTTTTAGTGAACTCGAAGGTCGCATTTATTTCGCTGTCATACCTTAAAGGGCTTAAATGTAATCCTATCATTCAGTTCTACACATATGAAATTAAAGGCATGTCCCTTAGTAATGAATAATTACAAACATAATACTCCACCAATTCAGCTTTGGCCTCATTATGAAAACTACATTATGAAAAGTTCTTTGTAAAAGATGTTTGACGTCAGATTTGAACTCAAGCAATGGATTCAGTAAAAAAAATTTATGTTGCAAGTGATATTGCCAATAAAGTTAACATTCTAAAAAAAGTTTTACCGTGATAAGGGAATTAGAGTAAAAAGTTTGACTTAGAGCAATTATTGCGATCAAACCGATTAAAGCATAAACATTACGGAACATTGTACCCAAACTAAATGAAAGATGAAAGGTGGTAAACGAACAAGTTGGGAGTTATTTCTAAAATGAGGCTGCATTTTAATTTGGTGTATAGAATTATATGCACCTTTTTAGGCAAGAAACTCCCTTCCTAGTGAATTTTCTGAAATTTCTGCCCTGTGGAATAAAAACTTTTATATAGTTCAAATTAATTATTTTAAAATAAAGTTTATGTTTCGATGGTTAATGTTGTAGCTTTCTTCACCTGTTGACTTTAGAAGACTCTTTAAGAAACTGTCTGTAAATAATTGTAAAAAAACTAGCTTGCAAGGATCTTGCATTATAATTCTAATTATTATTCAGTTATTGGCATGTTTTGCAGTAATGCATCAGCAAGTTTTTTATCCAAATTCTCCTCTGACTCCCAGGTGTTGTCCTGTCATTATACCCTTTCTACTTTAAGAAGAATTCCAGCTGTCCATCACTTTTTCTACTTATTTCTCTTACTGACTCAATTTTGTAAACCTATTTTTTCTTAAGGGACATCTTGTTTGTGCACTTCTTTTTGTTTTTAGTATCAGTCTTGTGTGTTGTGCCAGTCAGCTCCTTTTTCATTGATCTCTTTAATGCTACAAACACAAAAATTAATCACAGTTGAAAATTGAAAGGAAATAAACCTTCTTGATATTTTTGTATCATAATCTTAACTTGTCCTCCTGTTTTGGTTGCCATAAGAAACATTGTTATTTAATCATAAATATAGAAAAGCCACAAGTGAAGATTTTATGAATAATCTTTTTTATTCCATTTTTTTTGAAAACTTCATATACAGGCACTCTTTGATGTATTGTTATATATTTTATATTTTTCAATATCATAAAGTATGCACGATTGCTTTAGCTTTTCATATGTCTTGTTCAGCACTTTCTGTATTAATATTTTTATTATATATATTTAACACCTACAATGTGCTTAAGCAGCTAAAATTGCTAAATAGTAAAAACAACATTAGGCTTTGTCTCAGCAGTATGACAAAGTAAGTAATTTAAGAAACCCCACTTAGAATCAGATTCAAGCGTAAACATAAACATAAAGAGCGTAAACGCTGTAGGGTAAAAAGTACCACAGAGTGGTTCGCATGAGTTAAGTTCTAGAGGACTGTATATATTCAGAATAAATGTAAGATAAATAGTTTGATAGTTTGACGAATGAGAGAAATATGGAAAGAAATCACCTGGTTGTCTTTAGAAATACCATAAAATCATCAGAAAAACAGTACAGCAAGAATGATTCGAATAAGATTTAATCTTCGTGAGAATGTCAATACAACGACGTTTCGCAAGAGTTTTTTCAAATGAATGTTTTCAATAGTGTGTAGATACGTCTGTGCGCTAGCGTTTAGATAATAATAATAAGTTCCAATTTGCCACACCTATCAATATTGTAGCCTCGTTTTCATGGTTTGCTCACACTCCCACCTTGGCCAGTTAAATACTGGTCAATTAAACGTCTCTTCTCCGCACCAACAACTGCTGCTGTTCGAAGGGGTCGTGTCCTTAGAGAATTGTTCATGTCGTGACTTTGTAACGGAACTAAAGGTTCAGAGCATGTCACTTCGAGTGGAAATAATTTCTGTAACGGTCGAGCTATAACGTTTCCGTTTGACAGTTGTATATTTGCACCACGAATTTCATTGTCTCTTCCAAAAATCAACGATTTGATTCTTCCGAGATTCCAGAATAGGCGATTAGTCTTATTTTCGTTGTGCACGGTGACTATATCACCTTGATGTATGGAAGATCGATGTTCATCGCGTTTGAGATTGCGATGCTGCTCGCGAAGTTCTGATAAATATTCTTTTTTCCAACGTACTTTAAAGTGCTCGAGAGTTAACAAGAGATATTTTATTCTTTTAGTTAGGTTCTCTTTCGTTCCCCATTCTTGTTGATCTTCAGAATCTCTCGCTACCGAATAAGGCAAGGAAATGAGACGTCTACCCATAAGTAGATGTGATGGTGTTAAAGGCTCAGAGATATCTTCAGGATACAAATGAGTCAAAGGACGCGAATTTAGGACAGCTTCTATCTCGACAAGAACAGTGTTCAACTCATTACGATTTAACTTTGCAGATCCTACAACCTTCTTCAGACACGATTTTGTACTTTTGACCAATCTCTCAAAAAACCCACCCCACCAAGGGGCCTTGGGTAGATTATACATCCAACTGATTCTTCGTTCTGCGAAAAATTTCCTTACTTCTGGTAATTGAAATAGTTTCACGAGCCTCTTTGATGCAGATTAAAATGTCATAGCGTTGTCTGATACGACTAGAGACGGTATGCCTCTACGTGCAGCAAATCGACGAAAACACATTAGAAACGCATCAGCTGATAATTCGTCGACTAGTTCAAGGTGTACAGCGCGAGAAGTAGCACATGTGAAGAGCGTGATGTATACCTTCTTCATCTGCTTTTGATCACTCTTGACATCAAAATCAACTCCGACTGAAGTAAATGGGAAAGAATCTTCCACTCTGAAGCGCGGTAAGTTCGCGGTTTTAGGATTTCCATAGGACATTCCTTGTAACCTTTTACAGAGAGTACACTTGCCGATAACTTTCTTGACAACTTGACGTCCCTTTACTATCCAGAAGTGACTACGTAATTCTAAAAGAGTTTCCTTCACGCCACCGTGAAAGACATGCTTGTGACAATCCTGTATCACTAACTTTGTAAGGTGATTTTCTCTGGGAAGTAGTGCTGGAAATTTGCTTTCAAAAGGAATGTCTGCATTACTAAGACAACCTCCGCAACGAATAATTCCGACTTTGTCTTTGAAAATACCTAGTTGCCGTTCAAACTGCTTGTTCTCGTGTTTAGAAATATCATTTTGAACTTCTTTAATCCAAAACAATTCTGCCTTCGCCATCTCTTCAGCTGAAAGCTCTCCATCGAATTTTTGACTTTTCTTTCTGCAGTTATGAAGGAAACGCAGTACGTATGAAGTAACGCGATAGAGGTGTGAAATGCTGCTGAAATTCTCTAACTTGATTACATTTCTCAAAGAATTTTTCTGCACAGCATCAGCTAGCAAAACCGTGCTGGACTTCTCCTGTGAGACATTATTTTTACGGATTTCCTCTTGACATTCCTGCGGCATTTCATCTTGACGATCAACGTTAGGACAATTCCCAGGATTTTCTTTTAACCATTCTGGACCTGACCACCAAAGATCATTCATTTGCAGTTTCGTGACGTCATAATTGCGAGTAGGAACATGTGCAGGATTTTCCTTTCCTGGGCAGTGTGACCAGAGGTTAGGATTGACCAATTTTCTGATTTCTTGGACACGGTTTTCAACAAATATCTTCCATTCCTTTCCTTCTCCCAATATCCAATAGAGTGCTGAAATCGAATCTGTCCAACATTTGACCACTTTAGTTTTAACAACAGGACTTAGTGAATTTTCCACAGAATCGATTAATCGTGCAAGAGTTAGACAAGCTAGCAGCTCTAGTCTTGGAATGGTTGTTTTAGATAAAGGTGCTACCCTTGATTTAGACATAACCAAGCTCGCGTGACTTTTTCCGTTGACAGTTATCTTAGCATATACCGACGCTACATAAGCACTTTCAGAACTATCGCAAAAGCCGAAA